GTCTAAGTAAAATCATTATTTTTATATTGATTAACTTAAAGAAGACTTAAAGTTAATTTAAAAATAATTCCTTTAAAATAATATAGAGCCTTAAAAAAGACTTTTTATAATATAAAAACTATATTTATATTTTTAAAGATCTGGCTTTATAAGTTAAACTTATAAAATTATATTATAATTATCTATATATAGATTACTTTGATGCTATTAAGACTAAGGATTTATTTAATTAAAACTATTTTTAGTTAAATATAAGCTAAGATATTAAGAATTATATTTAGATATATAAGATTTATTAATTAATAAAGATATATTAATATCAGCTATATAAGTAATTATAATCTCTTTTTATTCTTAATTAATCTGAATAAAGCCTAATAATAGATTTTATAATAGATTTACTATTTAATAGATAGAAATTTAAAGTTTATAACTCTATTTTGATTATAATAGATTAATATATTAAGTTTATAATCTTTATTCTTTTAAAAAAGAATATAAATATTAAGAAATTTATAGATATAGTTATTAAATATATATTTAACTAGATTAGTTATTTTAATAATATTATATTAGATTGAAAAAATGTATTTACTAGCTAATTTTAAAAGGAGATCTATTTCTAATTTAGAATTAGATATTAATTTAATATAGTTTTTTATTTATAAATTAATGATCAAATTGAATATTTAAATCAAGTCTTAAAGCATTATTTATATTGCTTTTCAAATTAATAATAAGATAATTAAACCATTTATCTAGTAGCTACTTAATTTATATATAATAATTCAAAGTATTTAAATACTAAGATATTATTATATTAAATCTTAATTAGCTTTAATTTAAAAGCTTTCTTTAATAAACATATTAAAGAATTAAAAAACTAAATAGTATAAAAAAGAGTTAAGATATTTAAAAAGATTTATAAAAAATTAAAAATAAATCTAGATTAAGTATTAAAGGCCTAGATTAAGACATATAATAGCTATTATAAACTATAAGAATATATAATTAAAGATTAAGTTCTTTTAAATTTAAAGAATATATATATCTATAAGTCTAGTAAAAAGTTAGACTAAAACTTTAAAGAATTTTTTAAGATTATTAAAAGAATTAATAAATAAGCTTATTAACTTTAATTCTCTATTTAATAATATAGAATTCATTTAATATTCTATATTTCTCTTCTAGAACTGTATTATCCACATTAGAGAGCCAAAATAAAGGAAATTCAATTAATTTTGATTAATAAGAAAGAAGAATGGGAAATTAAAATTATTATTATTTATTAAAAATAAAGAAATTATATTAAATATCTAGTTAAATGGCTTAATTATTCCTTCTATAAGAATATATAGATTGATGAAGCTGGATTAGAATATGTTTAAGAACTCTTATAAGAATATAAGCAGTTTTTAGTATATAAGATAGTAGAAAAATGATACTAAAAAATAATTTAATATATTTTTTCTTTATTAAATCTATTTATAATTATATAGTCTTATTTTTTATATTTAAAGAATGGATATTTATTATAATTCTTATTGATTAGATGTTAAAAGAATAATAGAATTTAAAATGTCTTTTTCAGCTTTAGAATAATATTGAGAAGAAGAGTCTAATGAATTTTTCTTTATTAAAAATTTTTATAGTATTAGATCTCTATTTTAAAGCTGATTTAAAGCTAACTTAAAGATAATAGAAATTCTATAAGAATAAAATTTTATTTAATATTATAATATTTTAAAGCTTTATATATAGATTGACTTAACATTGATTTAAAGCTAAATTAAAGTTCTAATATATTTATTCAATTAAAAATTACTTTTCTTATTTCTTCTATAAAGTTTTTAGATTTAATAAGGATCTAATAGATATATATAGAAAAAGAAAATAATAATATTATTAGATATATTAAAAAACTAAAATAAATCTTTAAAGAAGATTTTAAATAGTATTTCTATAGTACTTAATAATATTCTTTTTTTTTATCTTTTTTTTTAAATTAATTCTAAACTTTTCTATCTATATTCTATATTAATATTTATATATACTATTATTTATTTATATATCTATATAGCTATAAAAACACTTATAATATATTTTAATAACTTAAAAGATTATAATATTTTTCTATCTAATTAAATAATTTAATGTTTAAGTGTTATTATTTAATTAATAGATTTATACTAAGGTCTAATATTCTTATAATAAGTAAAAATTAAAAAAATATCCTTTTAGCTAATATTCTTTATAGATTAAATTTACTCACTTAAAGCTTAATATTCTATAGTGATATCTCTAGATTAATAAAGATTCTATATATAGTAAAAGCTAGACAAAAATATTTTAAAGATAGAGTTATAGTATATTATTAAATTGATATAATGATAATATTTCTTATTTAAATAGCTATACATATAAAAGTATTATTTAAGATTAGCTTTTTTAGTATAGTATAGATATAATTATTTTATTTAAATAATTAAATATTTATTCTTTCTAAAAAAGATTTTTAAGTAATATAACTAAATAAAGCTAAATTATTTATTCTTTATAGTAAAGAACTTATATAAATATTAGACACTAAATATAGATAATTTAGTCTCAGTATTGAGATTAGTAAGTCTGAAGCTTTTAAAAGGAGTAATTCTTTTAGTTGTCATAATGTTAGACTAAATTGATTTAGATATCTTAGTAATAGTTTAAATAAACATTTTAATGATAGTTTATTATTATAGAATAATTGATTAAACATCCTTCATTAGAATTTATATATTAGAAGTCTTAAAAACATCCTAGACAGTGTTATAAATAAACATTTTAATTTAAATAATAATAACTATCTTCTAATTTTACTAAATTAGTAAAATATTTAATCTTATAAATATATATTTATACTTTCTTAGTTAGAATATCTCTAGCTATAACTATAAAGTGATTTTTTTAACTTCTATTAGAAACTAACTAGAGAGGGAAAAGCTATATAATAAAGTTTTGATATTTATAGAAAAGTTCTTTAATAAGAATATGCTAGTAGAGTTAGACAGAGGGTGATTGACTGTCATCTATTGATAGTTAGACAGTGGGGGAGCAGGTTTAGATAAAGGAATAAAGATGAAAGTAGAGGGATTATTATTAGATTATATAATATTAATATTGAATTCTTTTATCTAAAGTTGACTTAAGGTTAACTTAAAGTTGATATAAGGTTATATTAATATAATATAGCTTTTTAGATTTATATTATTAATAATTTACTTAGATATTGACTTAAAGCTATGATAGCTTTAATAGAAAAAAGATCATTTATCTTAAATATATCTATTCTTATTTTATAAATAAAGGCTTTATTCAACTTTTAACTATGAAGACTAGCCTTTTATAGAGATTTCTAAGTATAAGTATTACACTTAATATATAAAGATCTAGATAGAGTTGAGATTTTTTATATTAAATAGCTATATTAATGTTATATACTTATACATTTTTAATAATATATATATAGATTTATAAGATATTATCTCAAAAAATAATAAAAAAGAATAATAAGAAAATTAAGACTATTATAAATATATATATATTTATTAATTAGATATTCTTATAAACTTCAAATCTCATCTATATATATTAGGATTAGAAGGTAATTTATCTAGCTATATTCTCTATTTAGAGAAAAAGAAGAGATAAAAATTTTGAATATTTAAATATATATTTATATATATATATAAAAGTACTAATCTATATTTAATATTATTATTTAAAAGAATATCTCTAAAATTGATACTAATATCTCTATCTTAGAATCTCTATATCTTTAATATAAGATTATTTATATCTATTAAAAACTTGATTTAAGACTAAATCTTTCTAAAAGAGGAAATCTATAATAGAAATAGATTTAGAGAATATATTTAAGTTTAATCTAATAGAACTAAAGAGCTCAGAAATATTCTAAAAACAATTATAATATATCATAATTGATATTATAAAACTTTAAATATAATATTAATATCCCTTATCTTACTATATATATCTTTATCTAGTTAGATTAGATATTAATGATCTAAGATAAAGACTTAGACATATAGACTTAATTTTTTATTTAAAAAGAGAAAACTAAGTAATATTTTTTATATAATCTTTGATATAACTTTTAATATAAGTCTACTTAACTTTAAATAGTCTTTAGCTTAAAGCTTTCTCTAATTATATAATCTAAACCAATAACTCCCTCCCTAGTAGTATTGCTCTATAGCATCGATATCAATCAGTGAAGCTTCAACTCACCCACATCGAGTCTATCCAGACACCCCCGGACACGGTCCTGCCAGACCGTGTTACAATTAGGCTGTCATTTGGTTCAGTTCTGGTCCTGAGTTTCTAGATCAAACCCAAAAGTAGATCAATCTAATTTAGTCCTTAATATTAGAACTAGAATCAAAAACCGAATAATTCTAACTCTTTAAATTGAAACTGAGCCATGCTAATAAGAAATCACTAATTATAGTTAAATTAATATAAATTTAATCTAATTTTTATTTAGATAATTAAATTATATAAAAGAATTTTTAACTATAGTTAAATTTTATTCTTAAAAATATATTAAAATCTCTCTAAATTTCAATAAAATAAGTAGACTTATTTTTAATTATAATTAAAACTAAGCTTATAATTAATTGAATCTTTCTTTCTACTTCAGCCAATTTTGGAGAATTTTTGTTGCGAATTGATAGCATATTAACGTGTTCAAATTATAATATCAACATAGAACGCGTAATTCGGAAGCAGTGGGTGGCTGTCCGATTACGTTAGCTCTAAGTTACTAAACCTACTTCGTAGGTACGATAGCTACGACAGGCACACGATTCAGGCACGACCTTTGCGGTCGTGAGACTAGGCATTTGAGCTGTAGCAGTAGTAGGTACTACACGCGTTCCAAGGTTAGCCTTTAACTCACCCTGGCGAAAGGAATCATCAGATAAAATAATGAAATAAACTTACTCTGATGGACCCTCCCAGCCCACACATTTCCAACAGTCGAAAAAATGGGTAGGATCATACTTCTTCTTTACCTGAAGCAATTCGGGATAGTTCGATCCGAAAAAGGTTTCTTGCCATTCCGGTTCCAAGTAGTGACCTTCATTGAAATAGGATCCTCCGCCAGGTGTCAACTCTTTGAGTGGCTCGATGGTCTCCAAAAAGGACTCAACTAATTCTGCCTCAGTTGAGACAGAAAGCGCTTCATACCACCCACCTGACATAATTGTATGCCAGAGAGCCGTCCGCCAAGCAGGATTGACACTTGTCGTGTCGCCATTTTGGTGATTCACAGGTGTGGTCATAATTATTTGGGCCATGGAGGTCTCACCGGGTATGATCTTTTGGCTGAGGCGCATTCCTTGAATCACGGCGTCGACCAAGTCGGTTATCGTGCTGTTAGATTCAAATAACGTTTTCGGTATCAGCCGACTTGCAAGAATTTCGAACATTCCGCCTCGTGTTAGCTGTTTCGCGATGGCATTGGTAAGCGTCAGAAAATCGGTATATGTGGGATAGGTAGTGTAAGTGCTCTCGATGACATGAATATCCGTTTGATTCGTTAAGAAGGAGGAAAATTCACTAGTTAGGGCTTTCAATGCAGTTTCATTGTTCGAAGGCAGGACGAGGTAAATTGCGGTTTGATTCGGCCAGTAGTAAGCATGTCCTGAAATGTTATTGTGTGACCAAACGGGTTGGTAAGCTGCGTGTTGTGTAAGAATCTTTTCCAGTGCAGGGTAGTTGGCAGTTTCGTTGCCTTGAGTCGTAAATCTGGCTATGAACGAGTATACATTGAGTTTCACGGCAGGATGGAGTTGGAAGCGATAGCTTGTTAAAATGGCGAAGGAGCCTCCTCCTCCTCCTCGCATAGCCCAGAAGAGCTCAGGGTCATTGCACTGGTTGATTGTTCGGAATTGGCTGTCTGCAGTCACAACATCAAACTCGACCGCATTATCCACCATTAGGCCATGCGAAGGGCCAAAGACACCGTGGCCGCCGCCTTGACCAAACCCGCCAGCAAGGCCAACCGATCCTTCGTTGCCACCAGTCACGTCCATATTGAAATTCTGGAAATAGGCGTACACGTCCGCTGCCTGAGCACCGGCTCCAATCTCTCCGATGTCTTTCCCGTTCGAGACAGGGCAATTGTAAGCGGTGAAATTTGAATGATACGTCATATTTTTCATGTTGTGAGTCCAGATTGCAAGAGTGTTGGGGGTATTAGCGCGTCCGAAGTAGTCATGTCCTGTGTTTTTGATGCTTACTCGGATATTATGCGTTTTCGCGAATTTAACAGCAGTGACTACGTGACTTGCTTCGCGAGCATCAACATACAATGAAGATAGACGGCCGAGGTAACACTCCTCGGAAACAACCTCCGACGGGTTCAAAGGATCCAGAGCACAAGTTTGAGACAGACATGATTCCCAATTTAGTATTGATGATGCGCCGTATACAGTAGTTCGTTCCTGATTTATTGTGTAGTTCTCTGCGACAACTTCACAGGACGAAAGGTCGTAGTGTGGAGAGTTATAATAGCAGCTCGCTGCCAAAGGAACTGTGCGGTACAAGTTTCCGGATAGACTGCTGTTGAAACTCTCCCATTCATCGTTCGACGGCCAACAAGATTGTCCAGGGGTACAGTTGTACCCTGGATTATTGGGTTTGGGGTAGGGTGTCGCTGACGTGGACGTGAGAAGGCCAAAGACCACCCCAGGCCATGATATTTGTAACATGGTGAAAAGTCTAAATGGGTAAATTATACTTAGGTACTTAGGTAGGAAAAGTGTTTTTGTAAATTCAGAAGTTACCAGGTTTCGACATCCGGTAGCATTTATACCCAGATAGGTCCATTGGAGCTATTAATCTCATTTCGGATCTTAGCCCCCAGCATTGAATGTTTACCTTTTCTTCCTAACGAATACGTAACGAAGTATAATTTTAGCAATAGACTAGCTATTTCTACACGTGCAATTTCCCCTGCCTTGACGTTTAAGATTTCTTCCAGTAATTAGTACATATCCAGCTGACTGAAGTTGTTGGGACCCATATTCGAAGGATACCGTACTGAGTACTTAAAGCGTCGATTGGATTGGTCTGTTCGTGTTTGGGAGAGATTAACATCGAGAGTACCTAACCGGGCATCCTTTGCGACGGTTTAGTTAAGCAACAACCAGAGCTTTCTAAGCGACTTAATCGAGGGTTCTCGTAGGACCGAGTTGGTGATGTGAAAGTGATAATTTGGTTATCCAACCAGAGCCTCTCTGCGTAACACTTGCCCAATTAGGCATACTCTAAATCTGTTTATAGTAAATTGACTATCCGTCCAAGCTCAGCTGTTATCACGCAACACCTAGATTGCCAACAATAACATCTAGATTCTTCGCTCTGATTGACGGACTCGCGTTGGCTAAAAATCGCCCGTCAGATCTAGGCCTAATACAGCAATCGAGATGTTGCGTAAGTACCGAGCACTGGCTTTAATAGCAGTAACCATTAGTGGGGGCTATATTCTTAATATTTTTAATGCATTTAAGCTTTGCGTACTAATTGCCCTGCGTGGCTAATACAATGCCAGCACTGCCCCTGGTGGCGATATGAAACCAGTTGGGAATCGTCACTAGCATGCCCTGTTGGAGCATAAAACCCCCGACTCTTGCCAAAGCCTCGATTTCTAGTTTAAAAGTTATTCAAGAAAAGAAGCGAAAGAAAGAATACTCCCCAATCATGCCTACCATCGACTACCGACACGGCATCGCCATCCTGGAGGTTATCGCTTTCTTCCCCTCCCTCTTCCTGGCTTTGCTGTTAGCCTGGCGCCATGGCTTTGGTCGCAGCTCCGGCTGGTACTTCTTTATCCTATTCTCTATCCTCAGAGTCGTTGGCAATTGTTGCTATTTAGCAACCATCAACAAGTCTAGTGATGGCCTAACCACTGCGTGGGCTATATGCAGCTCGATTGGAATATCTCCACTGACATTGGGTCTCATATATAACGTGTCGCGAGTGTAGGCCTAATTTCTATCTTCCTTTCCAGGGACATATGGACTAATCGTGCGATACAACAGCAATGACTCCATCCAGCGAAACACCGGCAAAGGATTCTCGCCACAATTGTTCCGTTTGTGCGGGTTTATCGCAATCCTGGGTATCATCCTGAGCATCGTTGGTATTGAGAGCACCAGCAATTTAACCGAGGGCATGACAAACTCCAAATTCAAAGCCGGTCTCATTCTCTACCTCCTGGCATGGGTCGCCTTGGTGGTTCTAATTCTTATGGCTTGGTCCCGCTACAGTAAAATCGAGGCGGGTGAGCACCGCATTCTTGGGGCTGTCGCTATCTGCACCCCGCTCTTGTTGGTTCGCATTATCTACTCCATCGTCAGCACATTCGGCCATTGGACATATAACCCTGAGGACCCGGAACATAGCATTCCTTTCAGCATGTTCTTTGGCAACGTAACCATCCAGCTGGTCATGGCCGTGGTTGAGGAAATCCTTATCGTCTACATCATGCTTCTGACTGGATTCACTCTGAGTACTAGGTTGAAGGCTGTTTACGAGCCTACTGAGCCAGAAGAGACTGGGGAAACCGGCCATGGGCCTTATGACCGCAACGACAATTACGACATGATATATGCGGCTGGAAATTATTCTTCGCAGTCAAGAGTTGCACGAAAGCCGAAACGTCCGATTCGCGGTGGTCCTATTCACATGCTGGTTGCTTATACTGCCAATAAAATCGATGAACGTCGTGAGCGTGAGGGATAAATGCGGTATTGTGTCCGCGGTGTCCACATTTGATATGCGTTTCTTTTGCATTGTCGATTTATTTTTTTTGATGATAATTAGGAATAGGCTTATATGATTGGAAATTGACTAGCGAATTTCGCTATGCGTTGTGTCTGGTTCATTGATCGTAGTAGTTTATGATTAATAGAATTCAATTGTAACCGTGCCAGCCTGACGCACCAACGCTCCCGCTTTTGGTGCGCACCGGCTCAGTAGAAATTTCAGCTCAATGTCAAATTTTTGGGATAGGCTCAAAAAAATTCGATTTACTTCTTCCACCTCTGCTTATCTATAATAAATGAAGTATCAGGAGTAGTGAAAAGAAAAGCACTAAAATCTAATTCAAAAATCAAAATTACTGGATTGCTCTCTATATTCTAAGTAGCTAATTCTTTCTAATATTTTTTAATCTTATATTTATATTATAGTCACTCTTTCTTCATTTTTTCTATTTTCCTAATTTCAATTTAATAATTTATATCTTTAATACTTAGTATACGCTCTACTTTAATTTAATAATAAATCTTTTTTAAAATTTATATTAATTAAGCACTTGTAACTAGGCTGTCATTTGGTTCGGTTCTGGTCCTGAGTTTCTGAACCAAACCCAAAAGTGGGTCGGTTCGGTTTGGTCCCTAATATTGGAACTAGAACTGAAAATTAAACAGTTCTAATTCTCTAAACTGAAATCGAATCACGTTAAAGAAGAATTACTAATTATAATTAGATTAATATAAGTCTAATCTCATTTCTATTCAGATAATTAAATTATATAAAAGAATTTTTAACTATAATTAGATTTTATCTTTAAAAATATATTAAAATCTCTCTAAATTTTAGTAAATTAGATAAATAAATAATATAAAAATTATAATTAATTATTTAAATTATAATTTTCTATCTAATTATTAAGATATGCTAAAAAATAGATAAATAATAATAAATATTATAAAATAGATATAGAAATATATATATATATTTTTTCTAATAAATAAATTAACTATTAGCTATATAATATAATCTAAAAATTATAAATAAAAATAGAAAAGATATCATTATCATCTAAATAATTCTTAGATTATAATCTAAATATTAAGAATTTATTATAATATTTATAAAAATATCCAAAATAAAGTCCTAATTCAAAAGATATAAATTCAATTCATAAAAAGTTACTTTGGAAATGATTATCTAATTAGTAAAAATTGTAAAGAATTAGGATTAACTCTAAATTATTAATATTATTAATAGTAATCTACTAGTATTCAAATATTTAGATAAAATTAAATTAAAATCTAAATCGAACTAGACCCAAATAGGTTCTAAAAAACCATATAGTCCTAGACTTGGTGAACTGAACCACATCGGTTCACTGTATATAGGACCAGAACTGGACCATTCGGGTTTTAGATCGGTTTTGGTTCGATCTGAACCGAACCAAATGACAGCCTACTTGTAACACGGTCTGCCAGGACCGTGTCCGGGGGTGTCTAGATAGACTAGATATAGGTAAGTTGAAGCTTCACTGATTGATATTAATGCTATAGAGCAATGCTACTAGAAAGAGAATTATCAGTTTAGATTATATAGTTAAAGAAGACTTTAAGCTAAAGACTATTTAAAATTAAATAAAGTTATATTAAAGATTATTTAAAAGATATTACTTAATTTTCTTTTTTAGATAGAAAACCAAGTTTATATATCTAAATCTTTATTTTAAATTATTAATATCTAATCTAATTAGATAAAGGTAGGCTGTCATTTGGTTCGGTTCGGACCGAACCAAAACCGAACTGAAACCCGAATGGTCCGGTTCTGGTTCTATATACAGTGAACCAAAGTGGTTCAGTTCACTAAGTCTAGGACTATATGGTTTTTTAAGACTCATTTAGGTCTAATTCAATTTGGATTTTTAATTCAGTTTTATCTAAATATCTAAATACTAGTGGATTACCATTAATAATATTAATAAATTTAAAATTAATTTTAATTCTTTATAATTTTTATTAATTAAATTTCTAAAGCAGCTTTTTATAAGTTAAATTCTTATTTTTGTAAATTAAAGGTTTGTTTTAGATATTTTTATAAATATTATAATAAATTCTTAATATTTAGATTATAATCTAAAAATTATCTAAATAACAATAATATCTTTTTTATTTTTTATATCTATTTTTTTAAATTATATTATATAGTATATCTAATAGAGAAAGTATATCTATATTTCTATATCTATTCTATAATATTTATTATTATCTATCTATTTTTTGATATATCTTAACAATTAGATAAAAATTAGAATTTAAAGAATTAATTTGTAAGGCTCCTTGGCACTGCCAACCTCTAAATGCCAAAAAGTAATACTGAGGTAATTGGGCCATTGCCCAATTCCAGGGTTGGCACGCTTATAAGCCTCTGTGAGCCTGCAGCGCTCTCGCTGCTGCCAGGCCTCACATAATTCTAATTTTTCTATTATTTATCTATCTATTTTATTAAAATTTAAAGAGATTTTAATATATTTTTAAGAATAAAATCTAATTATAATTTAAAATTCTTTTATACAATTCAGTTATTTAAATAAAAAATAGATTACATTTAGATTAATCTAATTATAATTAGTAATTTATTTATTTATTTATTTATTCAAGTTTTACGACCTTACCCAGCTATAAGCTATAAAGATCACGTACCATTAGGGCTTCTAGAGATCTATTAGATGTCTAAATATCTACTCTTTTATAGTATTACTCTTAATTAGTTTTAAATATTATAGTTAATCTAACTTTTTTATTATCTTAAGCTGCTTATCTATATAGAGTAATTTAAGAGCTTTCTTAGGACTAATAAAGCTTTAGATCTTCTTTTAAAAGCTATATATATAGATATTATCTATTGATAATAGATTATTTAGCTCTATCATCCTTTCTCTTAAAGCTTTTTTAGATATTTTATTAGAAGACTTATTAAAGCACTTCTTACTAAATTCTTTTATTCTTATAGATTTGCTTTTTAAGCCTGTCTAATGATATTTTGTTAATCTTTTAAGGTGTTAATAGCCTTTATAAAGGTTAATAGAGCTTTAGTAGTTTTAGAATCCTTTAATATATATGGTTTTAAAATACTCTTTACTGTTGAAGATCTGTTAACTCTTATTTCTAAAAGATCTTTATATAAAGTTTTTTATTATTATTATTACTATATATATTAGAATAGTATATATTTAATGGTTTTTAATCTTTCTAAATAGCTTTTATGGCTGAAGATATTATATTTATTAATTTAATATAGATATACTATTATTAAAGTGTATCTAGTTTTAAATTGATATAGATATTATATTATTTATTTAAAGATATTAATAGCTGCTGGATTAATATATTATTCTAATGGTACAAGTTTCCAGAATAATAAAGGGAGGTTGATTCTCGACTTCACAGGCGTTGAGAGCTCGACAACTTGGACTAGCACTCAGAAGTCCGGCAAGGGGCTATGTCACAACCAGGCAACTCTTTCAGTCGACTTTGCGTTTGTCCATTTTCCCTGGACCCTACCCTCGGGTGGCCTTTCTTTATTGAATTGCTCAGTTCATGTTTTATTGTTTCTTGCTAGAATAATAGATACAGCGAAGAGAACATCAGCCATCCTCGGTTCAATTGTGTTTGCAGTGGCCATTTGTTTCCTTCTTGTGGCTGTCACTTGATTTGCCAGCTGTGCAGCACAGATCTAATTTAAGCCTTCGGAGGCCGTACTTCTTTCATGCGTAGTTTTGCGGTATGCAACGAGGTCTTGTTGTACACCATTACTCTCAAACCTCGAGCATCCAGCTCTGGCAAAGAAAACATAAGCCCTAGAACTGGTTTTACGTCCCTTTCTTCCGTATCATATGCCGTCATCTGCGGCATCTCGGGTCGGAAGAGCTGCGCGAGAGCGTGGTACATTTGCATATAGGCAAGACTATACATACAAAGTAGTGATAATTCTTGTCAGCTTGTCTCATATTTTCCATATGGAGATATTCTGGGTTCTCACTCTTTCCCCAAACATGTTCGTGACCCCTTGGAAAAGGGGACGAAGTGGCGGTGCATGGTTGCCAGCTTCGCTGGCTTGCAGAGCCAGCGCGACGGATTGAAGCTTCCAGGATCTGGGAAGACTTCAGGGTCCATATGTATCCAGTAGGGGGTCATGGAGATGGCAGTCTAAATATGCAAGGTGTGTTCAGCTCCAATTAAACAGGACAAATAAAACATGCATTGGTATTTATGGCATACCCCTTTTGGAATTTTCCAGTCTTTGAAGCTTAGCTCTGCATCGGGCGATACCCGCGGAAATCGGTTTAGGCTCCCGGCCGCTAGCCTACCATGAATAAGTTAATAGAAGTTTTTCGTATTTAAGCCAGGAAAAGGCATACCTCAACCCCTCCTTTATACATGCTGTCAAATACGGCACCCTTTCCATTTGTTGTAGGGAAGGGGCGGCCTGGGCTGCATCGCCTGCAAAAAGCGGCTCCAGAGCCCTGCGTAATGCCTCCTGCTGATCTTCATGCCGCAGCAAAAAGTAGACAATGATAGCCAGCGTCTGGGACACGTTATGCGTCCCAGCTTGCTGGATAAGCTGCCCTCCTGAGTTGGCCGTGAACTGTTGTAGAGAACATGAGAAAATGCTTACCTGAGATAACCGCACAAAGCCTTTTTCTCCAAGGATTGATGTGGCCTGGGTATCTTGGACAAGACTATCCATTACAGTTCTATCAGAGCGAGTTTTAGCTGTAGCCGAGGGCCGTGTTCGTGTAATTTGGATCTGTCGCCGGGATTTCTGCGAGTGATCAGTACGAGTCAGTTGTCATATCGGTAGGTCGATAGGCTCACGTCATCCCATATTCGCCAATTAGTCAACCTCTCCGTAAGTAGTTTGATAACTGGTGTGGTGATGGCTCTGTTTCATGGTTAATTATTTCTCTAAGTACTAGTTAGATTCATTCAACTGTTAAATATACCGCGCTATCCATGGAAGCTCCACAAGGAGCGGAACCGTCGTAAGGCCCATTCTTAATATTTCCCACCTACAAATTGTGTCAGAAAGTAATATTCGCTCTTTGTACAAGCCAAGTGTTGAGATCTATACCAACTTGCATTGTATTTCTCATCCTCTAGGAAGTTGCTAGGTTCTTCGTGAAAGATTGCGGAAGCCACGTCTACCGATACAATTATCAGCAAAGCCTGTCCAGCGATGAATTGAACTTACCAGTTGCCAAGGAGGCGAAAGCATCGTTGAGATTGACCGGATTGCCCGTGTTTGCTTCCGATTCTAGCCTTAAGGATAATTTTCGAACACGTTCCACGACCCTATATTCGACGCGACGAAGCCCTGATCTGGAAAAGAAAGGGTTCATTGGCGCTCGCACAATACGGTGGATATCGTGTGATATTGAAATAGCAGTGATGTCTAAATGCGACTCAGCCATATTAAGCAAAACTTCTTCCCCCTAGTAATCATAGTATGTTGATTTGGACGGGAATCTAGAAAGAAGGATGAATCCACCTACCGTCAAAGCCTGCTCCTTGCGTAAAACGACTGTAGGCATTGGACTTTCTCACAGCATGTGTTACAAAGAGCTGGTTATAGTAAAGGGGGTCTCGTATGTGGAGTTCTGTGGGAGTGACTCGAACGATCGGGCATGCACATGAACCATAAGCATTCAAATATTATCCAAAGAAAAAAGCTCATGATCAGGAGAGAATCTCACCATATCTCTGATGCATTTCCTCAATTTTTAGGTAATACTGGCCGCATTTAATCCAGTTATAGTAGAACTCGTACAAATATGTAGTACGGGCTAAAAATGGCCCGGGGAAAGCCGCAATTGGGCTTAATAGCACCCGGTACATGATTAAACCGAATAGGTAAGTCAAAATACCTTGCGAAATAGCAAATGCCCAGGGCATTATGGATATAGTGCCCATTGTGGTGGATTGGGATTGAGCTCAATGGAGAATGGCCGTAGGCTTCATTAAATACGTGAGTAGATGTATTCAGTCAACAGGTGAGTACTGGTACAGATGATACTTTCGCCAGTGTATGTAATTACGAAGTAGCGGTGTACAAACGATCGCACCCACAACTACCACATTACCAGGCCCACACCATGCATATTTTTGCTGCGAGAAATGCAAATTTAACTTTAACACTGTTCCACTGCATATGAACCCATTTCTCAGGCGCATCTACGACTGGTAGACAACATATAGACTGCACCCCATATCAGACCGACGTCCAAATTAAGTCATCTACTATTTCCCAGAAAAGCAGTGAGCTGCCGATGGAGACAGTATATCAAATTATTCCCGGATTTCTTCGTCAATTGCCCTCGAGCTAAGGTCTAACACATATGATCGGCCTGCAGTATGATTGATCATCGCCCAACGTAAATGACATATCATTATTGCTCGTACAAAGGTCAACGATTCATCGATCCTGATTTTTCACCGACAATATCAACAGCATACCGACTGCAGCAAAAGGGAGCATCCCCCCACCATTCGCAAAATTATCTCAAACGAATCACTTTTTCCATCTCCAGTCCTTCAACCAAAATACGACCACCGTAAGTAGGTAAGCTCATTCTTTCTGTGCTTGTAGAAGAAAAACAAAACTAATGATTGTCATCAAGTTAGAAATGGAGAAATACATCATAACTCTTGCTTTCATCGCCATCCTACACTACCCTTTTCAATGTTTTGTTCGATCTTTAAAATCTCTTCTCGCCGCGCGTGCTATGAACCTTCCCATTTTTTGGATGCCTATTCTACAAGATGGTGTGCTGTGGCAGCTGACGAAGCGATTCTACCGTCCGCTTATCTCACAGCTACCATTGCGGCTTCGACAGTCGGAGTGGTTTGACCTATGGTATCCTGACTGGCGATTTGTCGCTAAACATGAGCTTCACAAGAAGTATGGAGATGTGTTCCTGGTGGTCTCGCCGGGCAGCTTATCAATCGAAGTTGCCGATGCAGAGCTCGCAGCAGAGATCATTACTAGAAGCAAATATGACTTTGTGAAACCCAACTGGCCGTACTGTAAGTCTCATACCTGATATCCGGATATAGGGGACTATTATACAAATACTAAACTGTATCACCCTAGCTTTGTTGAACATATTTGGTGAAAACGTTGTCTCGGTAGGTCAATGGGATCTTCTGATTATCATAGACTCATTTGAGCTAAGCGGCGTTACCACACCAGTCTGGAGGAGCGACCTGGCGGCGGCACCGGAAGGCTACGGCTTCCCAATTTGGCAGCACTATCCACAAGCAAGTTTGGAGGAAGAGCCTCATCCTCGGGCAAGAATTACTCTCCATGTGGACGAATCACGGCGCCACTATCTCTACAGTCCCAAACATTTCACTGGATTTGGAATTCCTCGTCCTCCGTGTGATTCTCTCGGTGGGTTTTGGCGTCACTGTACAATTAAATCGGAAAACACACGAGTCGGATCCGCCGAACGTAGGGGGAATCTCTAGCTTTGCAGCAGCTATGGAACAAGTAATCACTAACTTAACTAAACTGCTGGTATTTCCTGACGGCATTCTGAAATATGGTCCAAGTAGCTGGCGGTCTGTCCACGGATCAGCTACTTGGGTTCGGACCTTCCTGGAGAATTTGATTTGGACTGAAACACGGAAGCAGAAGCAGAGCTTGACGTTTACTGGCCATTATCAAGAAGCCAGCAATATGCTGACTGGGCTGGTGAGACAAGGTATCTGTCACTCTGAAAGCCAAAAATACCGAGAGAAACAAGACCTTCTATCAGATGAAGAGGTCATGGGCAATATGTTTATCTTGGCATTTGCAGGCACCAATTCAACCGCTGATTCGTTGAAATATTCCCTTATACTCATGGCTTTGCACCCTGATATTCAACAATGGTTGATTCAAGACATTGATACGGCAATTGACTATGATGAAGACGCGGCGAATCCACTAGAATGGAGGGAGGAAATTCTATTACCCAAGCTGATTGCTCCATATTGTGTGATGGCAAGTTTTACGCCCTTATCTCGACTTACTACACAGTAGTGCGGTTTCTAACGCATTTTCCGTATAGATGGAAACATTACGCCATTATCCCCCATTGACTGCCATAAACAAGTCGACTGGTCGCAAATCACAGATTGTAACCTTGCATGGTTCCCCGTTTGTTATCCCAGAAGATGTCAATGTCAACATATCATTAAATGCATTGCATCACAATCCGAGGTACTGGGGGGAAAACGCATTAGTCTATCAGCCTCACAATTGGGACATAAGATGCAAGTGCGACTGGCCGGAAGGTATGGACAAAGATAAAGATGCTCAAGAGACGCTTGACATCACCTCTAGAGCTCCTCCTGTGAGAAGTCCTGTAAAGGGGTCCTACCTTCCATTCAGTGACGGTGCCCGTGGATGTCTAGGAAAAAGGTTCTCACAAGTGGAATTTGTGGCGATAGTGACCATGATTTTTCGACACTATCGAATAGAGCTTGCGGTGGGAGAATCAGAATCGTGGGAGGATGCCAGGTGTCGGACACAGGCCATCCTCAATGATAGTGCCTCTTCGCCGACGCTGTCTCTTCAGAGGCCCGTGCCGCTGCAGTTTGTGCGAAGGGGGCATTGAATGGCTGGGAAAGGTGTCTGGCGGCTTGTTGGACGGGACCGCCAGTGTGGAATGCCATGTACCCGAAAAGGAGTGTGATATTGTAATGAAGGCACTGACCAGTAGGTTCAGATGACTTGCATGAATTATCTATACACAAGTACTAAGCATAGCCAGTTGGCTAATAAAAATCACTGACCCGTTTCCTTCGCAATAACCTCATGTATACCCTATAAGAAGATGGCAATCAAACTTTACTCTGAACTACAACAAATAAAAAAGCTTCCATAGTCATTGCTCGCCTAGAGCTAAAATGGATATCTGCCAGGACGAGAAATTGAGATACTGGCTAGTGCTGGGCATGTCCAATAGAATCAGATGATTGATTGAAGGTATTCTGATCGGATGAGCGATCTCAGGGGTCTCGACATTTGAACTATGGGGTGTTATTCAAAGTAAATCGGAACACTGCCTAATTACTCGAAGGCTTCTCTATCCAATCCACCATGGAGACGCTGTGATAATTGGCGTTGTTCCTAAGGTCGGCTTGTCTAATATCAGGGGGGCGCGGGGGGTCGGGGTTCGGGGTAGGGGGAGGGCGGGTCGGGCGAGGTCCTCTCCAGCTTTCACTTCCCCCTCCTCCGCTCTCCCTCTACCGTCCACGATTGCCAGATCTATCCTTCCTATTATCCTAACTTAGATTCTCACTCCACCTCTTATCTCTAGTCGCCTTCATGCAGTCATCCTAATCAGAACAAACACTAAGCCTATTAAATCTAGAGACTTCTCATCAAATCGTTCTGATCAGAACAAATATTAAGTATATAGAATCTAAAAGCTTATATTAAGTCATTCTAACTAGGATAAATATTAAGTATATAAAATCTAAAGACTTATATTAAATCATTCTAATTAGAATAAATATTAAATCTATTAAATCTGAAGGCTTATATTAAGTCATTCTAACTAGAATAAATATTAAATATATAGAATCTGAAAGCTTATATACAGTTATTATAACTAGAACTAAAACCAAGTATTAAGATAAATAAGCTTATATTAATATTATTCTAATTAGAACTAATATTATATTTAAAAAATTAGTAATCTTATTAAAGCTATTATTAATTATAATTTTATAATATTAAATATCTAAATTAAAAAGCTTATAATAAATATAATCCAAATAAAAATAAATAAATAATTATAAAATAAATAGATTTAATCAAGCTTTATTCTTATAAGAGATTGTAACACGGTCTGGCAGGATCGTGTCCGGGGGTGTCTGGATAGACTCGATGTGGGTGAGTTAAAGCTTCACCGATTAATATTGATATTATAGAGCAATGCTACTAGGGAGAGAGTTATCAGTTTAAGTTATATAATTAAGGAAGACTTTGAGCTGAAGACTATTTGAAGCTAAGTAGACTTATATTGAAAGTTATATCAAAAATTATATAAAAGATATTGTTTAGTTTTCTCTTTTTAGATAAGAAATTAAGCCTATATATCTAAGTCCTTATCTTAGATTATTAATATCTAATCTAACTAGATAAAGACATATATAGCGAGATAAGGAGTACTGACATCATATCTAGGATCTTATAGTATCAATTGTGATATATTATAATTGCCTCTGGGGTATCCCTGAGTCCCCCGGTCCTGCCGGATTAGGCTTGAACATGCTCCCTGGGTCTATTCCTGTTACAGAGATAGATATTAATTATTCTATAAATAGATTTATATTAAATTTATTATGATTAATTATAATTATCTAACTAATAGTTATAAATTTAGATCTAATAATTATTTTAAAGTAAAGTGTGTCTTATATTAGATAAAAAAAAAAGAAAAAAAGATTCATAATAATTAAAGATTATTAATTATTATAATATATTATTTATTTAGAATATTTATATTATATAAATTTATTTAATAATATATTAACTATATTCTCTATTAAAATCTTTTATTATTATATCTATAAGTCTTATATGAATCATCTTAATTATATTAAGTTTTTTACTATAGATTATTATATATATAATAAGATTCTAAATTAAACTAGATAGATTTATTATATTAATATACTGATCTTTATCTTAATCTAGTTTATCTATCTTATTATTAGTAATAGATACTTTATATAATTTATAAAATTCTGAATTATAGATCTTTATAATAGCTAACTCTAGCTAAAATTATAATATAATAAAGTAATCTTTTTTTAACGTAATCGGACACCCACCCGCCACTGACACCCACCCGCCAGTTTCTCTCCGAGCGCGCGATCTATATTGATTTCAAAGCTCAATTTCTAACTAAAAATGATAATTATATACAAAAAATTAATTATTAATATAATTAGAGCATTAAGGCTTTCTATATTCTCAAATTTCATATTTATTACACTGAAATTAGTAGTATATACGCGCTTATAAGGCTAGTAGCTCAGGCTTAACTAAAGCAATAATATCAATTTAAGATGTTTCAATCTAATCTAGTATAAGTGTCTAAACTTCCTCTCTAATAATTCCTTACTTATAAAATATCTACTTTCTAGATCATCTATATTTTTACTTCTCTTTCTCATTTATAATCTATAAATCATAAGCTTCCTTTTATATAATAAAAAGCTTATTAATACTTATTTTATAAGCTTTTAATATCTAATTAATTATTTTATTAATAACTTCAAAGAGATTCCTTATATATCAGCTTATTTGTCTTTTAATTATAGTTAATTAACACTTAAATTAATATAGATTTTAAGATATTTATAAGTAAGATGATTAAGTATTACTTAATTAATTTAAAGAAAAGATTAGAGTTCTTAATTAGATAGTAAATTATTAATAAACTTAATCTAAATTAAATAATATTAATTTAGTTACTGTAAAGCTATTTTAAATAATATTAGCTTTATATACTATCATATGAGTCTTTAGAAATATAGTAAGAAAATCAATTTTATTAATATAATTAAATTTAAGCTTTATTCACTATTTAATAAGCTGTCTATATTATTATTTTAAAATAGTAAAACAGCTGACATTAAAAGATTATAAAAGATAAAAGAAATATAGAAATATATAAATTAGAATAATATTATTCTTAGTACATATATAATTAAATTTAGTAATTAAATAACTTCTATGATCATCAAGAATAAGCATTTAATATCCTTCTATTTTTTAATTTATAATATGAAAAATAAAGTAATACTTAAATCAATGCATTCTAATATTATTTATTATCCATTCAGTATCATTAATAATGATTTTTTAATTAATTAAAAGAATGTCAAATCAGCTATACTATATATATTTTATAGCTTTAAAAATCATATATAAAGATAAAGTCTATCTAAAAGAATTAATTGCTTCAATTATAATTACTTATTCTTAATTATCAGACTATAATAGATATAGTCTACTATATTAATCATTTCCAGTTATAACTTTAATAATGATATAAAGCTTCATAATAAAGCTAATCTTATTAAAGTTATAAATATCTTTTAATAAGATATTATACTACAATATAATCTCTTATATATAATCAAAATATTCTTTAATTATCTTTAGATCTTCATATTTAGCACACTCATAGTTATATCTTTATAAAAATCTTAATTTAAGCTCTAAGCAATATTTAATAAATTGATATATCTATTTTTTATTAATTTCTTGATTACTATATTAAGAAAGCAGAATATTAACTATATCTTATACTATAGATAGCTAGAAAAGTAATCCTCACTTATTTAAATCTAAGATTTATTTAATAAGCAATTTCTCTTCAAATTTAGTCAATTTATAGCTATTAATACATTTTTCAGTCTTTTATTGGATACCCTTAAGTCGATTTTAGAGAGTTATATATAGAATATTATAAATAGCTACCATTTAATGAATATTAAAAATCTTTTTATTTTTTAAATCAGAAATAACTAATTAAATCTTGTTCTCAATCTTAATAGATTTTTATATTAATTTATCTCAAATTAGTAGCATATTAACGCGTTAAAGTTATAAAGTCAATATAGAACGCGCGCTCGGAGAGAAACTGGCGGGTGGGTGTCAGTGGCAGGTGGGTGTCCGATTACGTTATTAAATTTTAATCAGCTTAGATAATATATATTATATTCTTTATATATATTATTTATATCTATATATTTATATATCTATATCTCTATCTTTAGAATAAATATTTAAAAAATACTCTATATTTATATTTATTTATGATTATCTTAATTAAAAATACTCTTTCTATATTATATATTAATATTTCTATATCTTTTTCTATATAATTAAATATTTAAAATCTATAGTTAACTATACTATATTTATCTTTAATTAATCTATTTTAATATTCTATTATAGCTATCACTAGATAACTAAACTACTATATAAATAATTAATATTTCTTTCTTCTAATATTTCTAGACTATTTCTTAGATATACTTTTTAATATCTTATATTATAGATATCTCTTTAGATCTATAAAATTAAGTAAAGCTATATTAACTAGATATATTCTAAATTTATCTAGATTATATAATAATTATTTAGAAATATCTTAGTCATCTAATTAATTATCTAATTAATAAAAAAAATATTGCTTACTTAATAAAGAGTTATTATATATGAAAAGTGTAGTAGATTTTATTATTCAACTATCTTCTAGCTCTTTACTCCTATATAAACTAAGATCATTTCAAATAAGTATATTATATACTATCTATTATAACTCTATCTAATATAAACCCTGAGATTATTTTCTATTTACTATTCTTAGTAGGTTAGAAATCTATTTATAAGATATTATTAATTATATTTTAATTTATAATTATAGAATAGCTTTTAATTTTTGTAATGCCTCTATTTGAATGTATAGAGGTTGGTGTTGATTCTATATAGTTGTCACAAGAATCGATAAACCATGACCAATGAATGTTATAGCAGACGCTATTATATAAGCAGCTAATAAGGAAGTACATAGGTACTATATATATAAACAATATGTATGGAAAATAGGTACTAAATAGAGACTGTTCAGAGAGCAATAGTGGACAAAATTATTATTTCTATTTAAATCTATTTTAATATAGAGTTTAATATATTTATTTATATTAATAAATTAAGATAAATAAGGGCTGAAATCACTTTTATATTTAAAAAAAAAAAGATTTAATAGATTGATTAGTCTTTATAATAGAATTATTAAAAAGAATTTAATTTATTGTTATATAAATCTAATTTATAATTATAAGGTCTAAAAGAATAGATTTGAAAATAAGATTTGTAATAAGATTGAGAGTTAGATTTATTAGGATTAAAGATATAGAAAGAATAGAATCTAAAGGAGATTTTAAAAAGATAATAACTATTACTATTAGA